TATCCAAAGCCTTTGAGAAACAGGTGGAGAATGTTTCATTTAATATGAAATTCAAGCTGCAGAAAGAATTGAGACCAAGATTTCTTCTATTGATGCTATGGATGTCAAAATGTTTATAGGAAATAAGTGCGAGTGCTTTCAAGTCCCATCAGATGGGCTCTCTGGTGGTATTTTGGTTTGTTGGAGAGCTGATGTTGCCTCTTTTTCAGTGGTTTTCTCTTCTTCTCAGGTGATAGTTGGTGAATTAAGTATTAATAAAAAGGATACTTGGTTGGTGGCTACAGTTTATGGAAGCTGTGATGTTTATTGTAGAAGACAGCTTTGGAGCTGTTTGGAAAATTTAGCAGATAAATCTATTCCTTCTATTATGGGAGGGGACTTCAACTGTGTTCTTTCTCAAGATGATAAAAGAGGTGGTAAGAAATTTTTCTTCTCGCAAGGTGCTCAAGATATGCAAGCTTTTATGAGAAATTGTGATTTACATGAAGTTGAGTTTGTTGGGCCAAATTCACTTGGTGTAATAATAAGACTGGTTCAGCGAGAATTTTAGAGAGGTTGGATCGTTGTCTTATTAACTCTAGTGCTTTAATAAAACTGAAATTACCTATGGTAAGGCATTTGGCGAGAGTAGCTTTGGATCACTGTCCCATCAAGATGAAGATCTCTTCTGTTGAGTTTCGGAATAATAAGAAGTTGAGATATGAAGATGTTTGATCTTTTTACCCTGCTTCCTATACAGTTGTGGCTCATTCTTGGAGGAAGTCTGTTGTTGGAAATGAGGCTGAAGCTTTGAATAAAAAGTTTTCTAGAGTCTTGAAGGCGTTGTTTTATTGGAGTAAAGCCAAACACAAACATTTAAATGAGTTAAAGAACAAACTCAAAGTGGAAATTCTTAAGCTACAGGAGGAAGAAGCTTGCGGCAAGGGAATTTCTGATTCTAATCTGGTTCTGTTGAAATCAAAGGTTGGAGAACTTAATTCGACACTTGGTCGATTATGTAGGTGGTGGAAACAAAGATCGAAAGTGTCTTGGATGGAAGCAGGGGATACTAATTCCAAGTTTTTTCACTTCTATGCATCGGCCAGGAGTAGTAATTGGATAAAGCTGGTTAAAGACAACAATGGGTTGCTGGTTGAAAATAAAGAATTGGTGGAACAAATTTTCCTACAGTTTTTTCATAAGAAATGGGAAAAACGTTTCAGCTATTTAAATTCCTGGCCTGCGGTGTCTTCACGGCTCTCTGATTCAGATAGAGATTTGTTAAGAGGGGAATTCTCTGAGGAGGAACTGGAGCAGGTAATTAAACATTTAAGAGGTAATATAGTGCCAGATATGGATGGTATAACCTATTCTTTTATTAAAAACTACTGGTGGGTTATTGGTGATGATGTGTGGTATGCTATCAAATCTTTTTTTACTCTTGGGGAGTTATGTCCTATTTGGAAAGAAACAAATATAGTTTTGATTCCTAAGACTAGCAATCCCTGCTTACCTTCTCACTACCGTCCCATTAGCCTTTGTAATTCTATTTACAAAGTGGTGGCTAGCATTCTGCTGAATAGGTTCAGTGGTCTTCTTTCTAAGTTGGTTTCGGGAGTTCAATTTGCCTTTATTAAAAATAGATCTATGTCTGAGCAGATTTTGCTTGCCCAAGAGATTTTCCATAAGATGAGATTCTCTAGTGCAAAAAAAGGTATGGTTTGAAAGTCGATATGGAACAAGCCTACGATAGTATGAGTTGGGATACTTTATGCCAAGTTCCTGAGAGGGTTGGCTTTCATGAGAAATTTTTGAATCTCATTATGGAGTGTGTTAAGAATCCTAAATTCTCTATTATGATAAATGACACAAATTCTGAGTGGATTGTAGGCAGCAGTGGATTCAGACAAGATTGTCCACTCTCTCCTTATCTTTTTATTTTGTTTGTTCAGCTCTTATCTGATGCTTTTGATCAGAATGGAAAGGGTGTAGGAATTAAGTGGCTCCGACTGCGCCTTTGATTTCTCATTTAATGTATGCAGATGATGTGGTGGTCTTTTTTGATGCTAGCTGGTATAGTTTAAAGATTATTAAGAGAATTCTCTATGACTATTGCAAGTGGACTGGACAGAAGATCAACTTGTTGAAGTTTTTGATCATGTTTGGCAATGCTGTGAGGAGGAGAAGAGGTGTAAGTTGGCAAAAAAAATGGGCTTCAGGAAGGTAAATGAGATGGATTACCTTGGGGTGAAATTAGTGTTGAGGAGAGAAGGTATTTTCAGATTTCCAAAATCTTATGGCTAAAGCTGTTAATAAGCTGAATATGTGGGGAAATAAATTTATCTCTCAAGCTGGAAAGCTTACTTTGCTCAAATCTTCATTTCTTACTTTACCCCTTTTTTATCAGCTCATTCTCTAATTCCTATGAGGTTTTTAAATGACTTTGATAGAATGTGCAAAAATTATTTGTGGCATAATAACAAGGGTAAATTTGGTCTACATTATGTTGCTTGGAATATAATGTGTTTTCCAAAATCGAAAGTTGGCTGGGGTTTACAGTCGGTTGTTGATAAGATTGAACCTTTGAGAGCCAAGTTTTCTTGGAGCCTCATTTCAAATCCAAATTCTCTGCTTAATAGGTCTTTGATTGCTAGATATGGGAATGATCCTTGGAATGTGGATAGGAGAAAATGTCATTCTCCTACTTGGAAAATAATTTTACAAGGTGCTGAAGCTTTACATCCAGCGATCAGATGGAGTATTGGAACTAGTTTGAAAATCAGAATGCTGAAGGATACTTGGATTCTGAACAGGAAGATTGAAAGATGGCCAGTATGTGGATGGCTCTATATTGGAGGAAGAAAGGATTTCTGATTTTATTAAAGATGGAGCTTGGGATGTGGAAAAACTGAGAGGCAAATTTGGTGTTATGATGGTAGAGCTTATTCTTGAAATTCCTATTAATAATGAATTATATGAAGATCGTGCAGAGCTGCTGTACAGTTGTTCCGGTAAAACTATCTCTTCTCTTGCTACAGAGAAGTTGTTTGTTGATGCAGAAGATGATGACTATCTGATTTGGTTGAAAAAGGTAAAACTAAGGCCCCGAGTTGAGTTTTTCTGGTGGAGACTAAAGTTTGGAGCTATTCCTTCCATGACTTTTTTATTCTACAGAAGATTGGCAAACTCTGAGAGCTGCCCGAGAGGCTGTCTAGGTATTGAAGATATTCATCATGTGGCTGTTAATTTGGAGAAGTTGGTTCAGGTTTTTGCTGTCCTTGCTAAGTGGGGTTTTCTTTTTCCTGAGATAAATTCTTTTGAGAGTTGTTTGTTGTTTCTACAGCAGTGTTCTCGTCAGCATCCATGCATTCTTGGGAAATTTGTATTGTTTGGTTGTTTTTTTTATGTTGGCAGAGCAGGAATAAGGCTGTTCATGGTGGATTGGAGGATTGTGCTTCTTATCTAGCTGCTAATGCAGTTATCTTTGCTTCTGCCTCTTTTAGTTTTGATCACATCTGGGAAAGTTGGGATGCTAATCAGCTTATGAAGCTGTCTTGCAAATCTTGGTATTCCCCTCCTCCGGGATGGATCAAAGTTAACTTGGATGCCTCTTTATCAACCTCTAATATGGCAGGCATAGGTGGCGTTCTACGTGACAACAAATGGTGGTTCATAAGTGCTTTTGGGATCATCATGGTTCATTGGGACTGCTCACATTTGGATATTCTTTTTGTTTCTTTTCTGGGTAAATTCATACAAAATTGAATGTATGATTGGAAAGGCATTATCATTGAGGGTGATAACTTGAATGTTATCAAATTCTTTCAGAATACCATGAATAAGATGGAAATTGAGGCAGGGAACTTGAATTCGAAGGATTTCCTCTGTCTTAGAGATTTCAACCAAGTTATTTTTCAGCATGTGAAAAGAGACTGTAATAAAGCTGCTGATATGTGTGCTAAGATAGTTATTTCTGCTATTTTTTTTTTGGATTCTCTCATTTATAATAATATTCCTCCTCCTTTTTTAGCTTTATTAAAGGAGGAATTTAGTTGTTTGTAGTTTGTTTCTAATAAATTGCTTTGGCATCTTCTCAAAAAAAGATTGAAATTGTGAATTGTGTTGAAAGATTTATGTATAATAGATTTAATATCTCATCTAGCATCAACTGTGGATTAATGAGGAATGAGTGTTAATGAATTCAATCCAAATATTCAAGATAAGATCGACAGTTATGTCGCTAAAATTGTTCTGCTTTTATCCAAGAAGCTATGCACGTTTGTAGGATTTTTAAGCTTTCATTGGGCATATTCTTTGCGATCTTTTGTACTGTTTAAGTTCTTAGTTGTGGGGTGCGATGCTTGATGATTTGATTATCTCATCTTTTAATTGATTTCATTAAATAACAGCTTGAGACCAAGATAAGTCATGTTTACATAAGTAGATTACTTTATCATGGCTAAGGAGATCCCAGATTTTAACTCTGGTCTTTTTCATTCTATCTGATGTAATACTCATTTCCGGTGTTAAAACTATACATATGAATAGAGTTGGCTAGAATTCATTTCCTCTTTGCAGTGGACTCAATGTTAATGATATGAAAGAATATCTCTATTTCATCACATTGCTTTGTCTTTATCTTGACTTTATCGGGGCTGATGGGTTGTGCTTGTACAAGAGTGAAGCGTTTCTCTTAATGCTTATCACTTCCCTTTTTTTTTCTTATAGACACTTTTTCTCTTCTGCTTCGTGATGATTCTAAGTTCTAAGGATGAAGTCGGTCTTATGAAGAATCACATCATAATCCTTTTTTAATATCTTTCCTTTTTATTGTTTTTTGATTCTCTCGTTATCCATGTCTTTATTTGTTATGTACTTATGTTAAGACATGCATTAACTCTTCATATTCTGAACTTTTTGAGCATGCTTGTAAGCTATATACATTCTTTGAATATCAATCATACTTGTTTCTATTACAAAGAGCTATTTTTTGAGAATTTACTATACTGTTGATTCTACAGGAAAATTTGAAAGAAAAGCATTTGAGGAATATATTACTGGAAGCCGAAGAATCTTATTTTCCTAATAAAGGGCATGATGGCAGTCGAAGTTGTTTTAATCATCAGTGAATGCTACAGGAAATAGGTGCTTATACTTTTTCATTTTCATCTAATTTAATTTGATTATCATAAATTTTTAATATCACAGTTATGTTGAGCAATAGCATCTGATGCCATTCGGTAATTTTTTGTATCTGAGTTGTCAAACTTTTTTTGAGTCAATACAATGACATATCTAAAGCTCTGTTTTTTAATACGACATATATATGGGTTATATGTGTTCTTGTAGGTTTTTCAATTATTAGGGATAAAAGTAGTGACGTTTCTATGAGATTTGCTGCTCTTCTGTAACGCTGGTCTCATAACTTTTTGCTTGATTGTTTGACATCCTCGTGCTCATCATTTTCCTTTATCATTCATATCATGCGTCCCTTCTATTTCTTCCTGCGTTCATTGGCCTTGCAACCCTGCCCTTCAGAAAGAAAGAGCAATAAATTTGAACTAGAAAGATATTCTTATTTTTATTCGAGAACAATTTCTATTGTAATATATCGAAGCGTAGTGGCAAACTCAATAAGTAATGTAAAAATGAATATATTCTTTGATTATTGTAATTATTTGCTGCATTTTAGCTCTCTGAAAAGTGCAGGAGCTAGTAGTTTTTAATCCTGAAATTTATTGAAAAGGGTATTTTACTATAAGTGCATTGGAATTCAAATATAACAGTAAACCAAACAGCTTAAATATAGATAACATTGACGTATGCTAATACAGTGAGACTAAACTAAAATGTAGTATTCAGGCTATAACGCTACATCTAATAGCATTATGATGCCAATAAATATTCTGAGTTTTATTAATTGCTCTGGAGAGGGCTTTTAGCTCCATTTGGATGGTGGAGATGCCAGTAGGCTCTTAGGATTCAATAATCTAAATGCAACCATCTAATGCCAGAAGGCTCTTATTCATATAGATGAGACCTAATAAATCCTTTTCTGCATTGCCACAAATCTCGTCGTCGTCGCCTCGCTCGCTCGTCAAGGTATATCATTCGCCTAACTCTAAAATCTCAAATCCCGTTCTTGACGCTTGTGGCGAGCCGGCGAACCACCTATACGCGCTCTCGTAGCACGGTAGGAGGGAGTCTAGTGCGACATACGGCGAGGTGGGTAAGCCCTATACACGCTCTTGTAGCGTGGTGAGGATGTTACTTAAGTACCTGTACACGCCCTTGTGACGTGGCAGGGAAAACCAATTGTGTTCTCATACGAGTATTTTTGAAGGCCTCATACACGCTCGTGTAGCGTGGTGGGATGAAAGATGTACGGCCTGGTGTCCCCCGACACCTACCATACACGCTTGAGTAGCGTGGTGGGATGGCCTAGTTTTCCGTAGATGCCCCCTACGTGGGGAAGATGCCGGGATACTGCCAAAATTTTGACTGAAGAAAAAAAATTTGAACAAAATGTTTTTGGAGAACTATTGAGCTTATGTGGAATAATTTTTGGAGAATTATTAAACTTAAATGGAAAATTCAAAAAAAAAAAAAATCTATATATATATTCTCCATCAAGAACAAAATCTCATTAAAACAAAAAGTAGACTCATTTTGAGCTTCAAAATTGTTTTCATAGAATATCTTTTAAAGGAGCACAAATTTCAATATAAATATGCTTCTTGTTGCTCTCCATTTCTTTGAAGATTACCATGCATGAATATCCAATCCATGCAAGCGTGATAGTTTAAAATGCACCAAAGTATTTAAAGTTGTGAAGTCTTTGTTATATTGTTCCAATTAAACCAACCACATAGCCATGACTTTCACATATTAAATAAGATTTGCTGTTAACTTTGCATGTTTCATATACATCAACTACAATGAATCATAATTATCTGAATTAAATCTCCATGGCTTCTTGAGGAAGTTGCTATGATTATGATCATAATGAGCAAGGCAATTCTAAATATCATCAATAGTAAGCAAGCATGTGGCAGCACACATCAAACCACTTGCATGGATTGACAAGCATAATAAAAAATAAAAAAAAACAAAGAAAATGAAGGATGAAATGATTTCTGAATTTCAATCAAATTCTCATCACTCTTCTCCAGCTCCAAAGAGGAAGGAATTTAAATAGAGCTTTTAGTTCATGATGGAGATAAAATATCTCTTTGCAAATTTCGTTGGACGGGAGGTTTTGATTTATATGATTATTATGTTTACTTTGAGAATAAACATTAAAGATTAAAATTGAGAATAACTGAATGTGATTGGATTTTTTATCCGTATTCCGAATATAAATGGGGATGTCACCACCATTTTTACAAGCGGACAGAAGGGGTTTCATGACCCCTTTCTGCATTTAAAAATAACTTTTTCAATTTCAATATGATGCACTGAGCAGGTGTTGACATCTCTAAAATGCGTATAACAGCCTTGGGAAGCAAGCGACTGCCTCGAGAAGAGTGCCATCGCCTAGAGAAGCAAGTCACCACATCGAGAAGTGTGCATATTAAATTTTAAAAGCCTAATATACATGCTATTTAATCCCTGATGATGGCCATGTTGAATGTCTATATCAACCGGAGCGGACTACGGCCTCGTTTGATTAGGCTTTTTTTCTCCGTTTCCGTTTGAATACGCCGAAATCAATTAGTATTTACTGTTTGGAATCAAAGCTTAACAATAATTCCTTTTTAATAAATATCGTTTTTTCGGCGGTTACAAATTTTTTTTCGTATCTGCTTCTTCGGTCACAAAACGGAGTTTCAGAAACAAATTATGTCTTTTATAATAAAATCTTAAAAACAGAACTCCTAAACAAACAATTTAAAATTACTTTCAAGTATTAATAAGCACTTTTAAAAATATTATTCAAACATATCTCATTATTGAAACTCCATTTTATTAAACGGCTTTTTCTCAACCTCATTTTCTAAAACTCCTTTTTATGTAAGCATAAACCGAATCAAACGAAGCCTACATTTTCAAATGCCTCCAAATGCTTATAAAATGCAACTATTTTCAAATGGTTACAATAACTCTCCGATGATGACCGTGTTGAATGTTTATATCAACCGGAGGGGACTCTACACCTTTAAATGCATCCAAATGCTCATGAAATGCAATTATTTTCAAATAGCCTCAAAGTTTCCCTGATGATGGCCATGTTGAATGTCTATTTTAACCGGAGGGGAAAATTTCAAAATTAAATCATATTTGGAACAAAATCTCAATAAATTTTATAATATTCAAATAAATTTATTATTCAAAACTTAAAGCAAAAATTCATCCATCATCCACTAACGTTTGTTAAGAATGATAAATTTTAGAATAACTTTAGCTCACAAAGAGCAAAATGTTTAATTGAATGTATCACTATGATTCATTCTCAAATGATTTCTCGCCAACGGGGACGTGGCATGTGCCCTCTGACCGGGTGGTTTTGCTGCAAAATAGCACCACAATATCACGGTTACGGTCAAAGCCCGTATGTTCTCCAATGGTTAAAAGCCCCTTGAATAATAAATCATAGGGTGCACTCAATAAGGCATAAACCTTTCTGTTAGCTAAGGTTGATTAAAATTTGTCTCCTTAAACAAACATCCACCCCTAGTCTATAAGGTACCCTTGGACGAAGCAACCCATCGCTACTGACAAGGATCCTTCTGTCAGGTTGGGTCGGCTACCTCCTCTGACTAAGTAGACTAGGGACCACGATGGCCCGGGACGATGGAACCATAGGATCTTGATCGGGCTCATCATCATCCCCCCACCATCCGTTTAAGGTATAAAAATAATAAATTTATAATTCCAAATTTCATATGCTGCTACTATATGATAGGTATTTCATGCTTATTTAATGACTAGCCTTAATCGAAAGTGCTCTCTTGTGATCGGGAGAGGTAATTAACCATAGGTACTTGCGCCTATGGAAAACCTAGAACCATATTATAAAGTCCTCATAAACTGAGGGAGAAATCTCTGGGTAGTGCTTTATCCCAAACTTCATCTGCCTTCTGAAAATTTGACCTGGAACATCGTTAAAACTCTCCTATGCAATGGAGGCCCGGGCCTAATTTTTGAAGCCCACAGATTTCTGGCGACTCCGCTGGGGATAGGTTTTTCTTTCCATCTTTGGCTAGTCACATATAAGCTATAGTAGTAAACTAAGCACCATAACATATAATCTATAATTGTGGAAAGACCATGCTTATCTAGTTATGTTATTTTATTTTATTGAGTTTTTGCATTTTGAAAGTGTGGGGTAATCTATCAAAACTTTGATCACTGATCCCCATCTTTCATTTGTGCAGAATGGATCTTCAAAATACTCCTTTTACTATGAAGCTTGGGCGTGGAGCAAACATCCGCCTAGCCAACGCTGTAATAAATACTGGAAATACTCGGGCCACTATCCAGTTTGGTGGGTTACAGTTTCTTGCAGCTACTACAATGGCTGCCGCCATTCCTGTGAATGGCATAAACTCTGAAGAGTTTGTTAGGGGACCCATTCTATCAGGACTTCTACGCAAACTGTTGCTGCCGAGAACCCTCATAGGAGAATTTCTGTGTTCGAACGATTGTCACAACTGGAAGCTCCAACCACCAAGAGAATTGTGACTGGTGGAAGGGTTTCAGTGGTATCTGCCTATGCCACTTCTCTATCTATCGGGTTACCTGCATCCGAAAAATATAATGTTGAAGCCTCCTTATATGGAGGAGGGCTTACGAGAAGACAAATAAGGAAGAGAAATACATAGTTACATGCTCAACAGCTGCCAGTACCAGTCCATCCCTCAAACCTGCCAGCACAAGAACTATAGATCAATATTCCCACCCATAATAGATTCACTAACCTGAGGTGGATAAAGAGAAACAACTCTTCTTGTGAGCTCAAGCAATCCTTCTGGGAGCGTCGACATAAAGCTCTGACCCCTCAGAAGACAAAAGAGCCCGAACGCTTGTCTGCCAGAGTACATCGAGTACTGAAGACAGTTAAAGAGAAGGGGCTAATGAAAAAGAAGTTTCAAAGGCCACTAGTTATTGAGGCCCAAAGAACCAGCTGAATGAAGAAGTTATCAACGACAAGCTCCGTGGAAAGCACATCAGGGCATGACACTTGGACCGCATGTTCAAGAATCCGCCGGCGAAAGGGCCGGCGAAAGGAAAAGAAATATGGAGGCCAAGGCCTCATGAAGAAAAGTTTAAAGCCGTGACATATGGAGTATATTTCTAGAGATCCGCTAATAAAAAAATCCAACAAGAATGGA